GGCGCGCGCGCCTGGCGCCGCCCCCTCGTCCCCCCACTTCCTGCCCCGCGGCAGCTCTCCGAAGTAGCGCAGGGCGGGGGCAGCGGCGCGGCCGCGGCCCCGGGCCCGCGGACTTTCTCCGAGAGGCACCAGGACTTTGGGGAACCTCTGCGCCCCGGGCGCGCGACCTCGCCTGTGGAGTGACGGCCGGTCGTGGTCTCTGCGCCCCTCTTGCGTTTCAGGAGGAGTTCGGGAGGTGGCCCTCCTCGTGTTGGGGGCCTCTGCGTGGTCCTTCGGGCAGGACAGACCCTGGAGGGGGCACAGACTCGGCGGACTCGTCCGAAGCCCTCTCGGTCCACGAAGGGACCCCCGGAGGAGAACTCGAGGCGGGAGGCACACGGGCGGGAGGCCCGCCCAGAGCCCCTCCCTGTCCTGAGCCCTGGGCAGGGACCCGCAGGAAAGCCCCCGGTCGCGCACAAAGGCCGGGATTCCCCTGTTCTGTGACCCGAAGGCTTGCCGCTGGCAGCTGCCCAGAGGGCGAACCCTGGCGTCGGAGATGGGATATGTGACATAGCAGGTGGGACAGAGGGAAGGGGACGCGACCAGACCCGGCCCTGGGTGGCTCCGCCTCCACGCGGGGTCCCCTGACCCTGCTTTGAACTCCTTCCTGGGCCACGCCCTATGGGGGGGAGTGCGTGGGCTGTGTTCCCGGCAGCTGGCCTCCTGCGAAGGTGGCCGGACTTCTAGGAGGAAAGGAGCCAGTCTGGCAGTGAAATGCTGGGGATCCTGGCTCAGCTGTCAGGAGACCCCGGTTCTCAGCTGGGTGAACCTGAACAAGTGTGATCCCCTCGCTAAGACTTGGGGTGAGGGTGGGGGTGACCAATCTCTGAGCCCCACACACTCGGGTTGAGCCCTGGGGCAGCACCCGGCAGCTTCCCTCGTGACCCAGATTGCCTCTTTTTTTTGGCATTCCTGGGGCAGGAGCCAGCACAGGGCAAGAGTCCGCTGCTGGCCCAGCGAGGGTCCCCCGAGACCCCCTGCCACCACCACCCCCACTCTGGGCACTGGTCTCTGCAGAGAGTCAGGCTGGCCCCTTCCCAAACCCCTTCCTGAGGAGGAAGAACAGTGACCCTGGCCAGGTTCTGGCCCCTGGACAGAAGTGAGGGAGGGGCTGGCCTCCCGGGACACACCCCAGACCCCACCCCAGACCCTGGCGGGAGTAACATCAGGCCAAGTTGCTGTCCGGGCGTCCTTCCTTCCAGGAGGAAGCGGGTGTGGCAGCTTCATGAACCTGGACAGGAAGGAGCCGGCTTGAGACGGGTGGGATCCAGCCTGCCTTGCCCAAGACAAAAGGTTGCCCCTCGCAGCAGGCAGATTCCTCCGGCATCGCCCTGAGAAATCACCAAGTGGGGGCACTTCCAGCCGCCCCTCATCTGAGACACTGCGGGGCCCCCTCCCCGGGCAGGACCCCCCATAGGGTGGACAGCCCCTCCCTGCGGGAATCGCTGGTGAGGAGGGGACAGGAGTAGTTATCCGGGAGCTGTGCACAGTGCTGGGGGCGGAATGGGGTGCTCCTTGGGGTTCTCATGACTCCCCGTCTTCCAGCCTGGACAGGGAACCAGCCCAGAGGAGGAGCCCCAGCTGGGGACAGGGGCAGCCCCGCGCCGGCCAACTGCACGGGCGAGCGTCTGCCGCCCCCTGGTGGGAGCGGCGGGCACTGCGGCCACCTGGCTGCCCCGTGGCCAGGCGCTGCGCAGCGCCCACAGGGTCAGGCTTAGCCCGGAGGGGAGCCAAGGCAGGGGACCTGGGCCTGCCCACTGTGTGTTACTGAGCCAACGCCTGCGCCTTCCTGACTCGCAGTGACCTAAAGAGAGCGCGGGGGACACTGGCCCGCCCCGTGGGCCTCCCAGGGTGTGGAGGAGGCTCTGAAGGAGGGGGCTGGGTGGGAACGAATGAATGAAGGGAGCTTGCCGGAACTCTTCCAATCCTCGGTGCGTCGTCAGCGCGGCTGGGCTGTTTCGAGTCAGAGTGCGGCTCAAGAAGAGGGGACACCGCTCCGGAACGTCCCGCCGGCATCCACCCCTGCTCACACTCAGCTGCTTGCCGAGACGACCTGTGGCACAACCCAGGGGGCACCATCCCATCATCCATGCAGACGGCGCCCGGGGAGGAGCCCACAACCTGCCAGTGGATGGTGTCCTGGGAGGACACTCGGGGCTTCCCAGGTGGCTCACATGGTAAAGAATCCGCCTGCAATGCAGGAGACCTAGGTTCGATCCCTGGGCTGGGAGGGGTCCCCTGGAGGAGGGCATGGCGACCCACTCCAGTATTCTTGCCTGGAGAATCCCTGTGGACAGAGGAGCCTGGCGGGCTCCAGCCCGTGGGGTCACACAGAGTCGGACACCACCGCGTGAGTAAGCGCACATGGCCCCCCGTGACGGCACTGTTCCTCAGCAAGAGAGGCCTGTGCTGAGCGCTGGACGGTCCCCAGGAGAGGCAGGAAGCTGGGAGTCCCAGCCCAGTGGCACAGGTGAGGCCCACAGGGCAGAGAGTCAAAGTAGGGACAGAGGGTCACAGGCCCCCACTCTGGGCCGCTCGGCCTCCACCTGCAGCGCCCTGGCCCCCTCCGGTCTGTCCTCAGCAGTCAGCAGACCCAGTCAAGGCTCATGAAGCCTTGTCACGCTCCTGCCCAGACGGGGGGGCCCTCGGAGGCTCCTCCTCACCAGAGAGAAAATCAGATGTCTTCCCAGGCAGGTCCCGCGTGGCGTGGCTGCTCCTCAGATGACCTCGCTTCCTGCAGCTCCGCAGCCACACCCAGCGGGGCCCACCCCAGGGCCTTTGCACCTGCCGCCCCCATGCCTGGGACTCTTGCCCCGATGGCCACGAGCGTGGCTCGCACCCTCTCTGCTCCGCACTTTTCTGTTGCTCTGTCTCATCCCCTCAGATCGTCAGCTCTGTGGTCACGGGGGCCACCTCTGGCCTGTCCCCAGTTCCCTCCCAGCACTGCAAACTGGACTCAGCCCGTGGTAGGTGGTCGAACAAATTGTTAAATGGAACACCATGTAGGGAATTCCCTGGCAATCCAGGGGTTACAACTCCAAGCTTTCACTGCTGAGGGCAGGGGTTCATTCCCCGGTCAGAGAACTAAGATCCTGCAAGCCGCAGAGCTGAAAAAAAAAAAAAATTAAACACCAAATAAATAAACCAACAGCTCAACAAAGCACTGCAACTAAAATTTTAAAATCCAATATCTTCTTTCATAGAAGTCTTAAGTGGGTAAAACGGATTCAAAGGTTTAAAAACTAGCCTGTATAATCTATTGATCCACAGTGTATCTCGCGTCTTTCTGTGAGTCTGAAACATTACACTCCAGGAGATTAGCACTGACTTTGCATATCATTCTAACTATTGGCGACTGGAATAGCCACTCCCATTTCTTGAGCTCTATGTGGCTGGCCCGAGGGCTTTGTCTGCGTCACCTGGCCTCGGCTAAGCCTCACAGTGAGCGTAGTCATTATTGTCCTGAGTGATTAAATGCAGAAACCCAGCACACTGGCAGCTGCCCGGCGTCACCCCGCGAGGCGCCAGGGAGCCGGGTCCACACGCCAGGCCGCCCCAGCACCTGCTCCTGAACCCCAAAGTGGCGAAGGGTCTCCACACCTGGAACCAAAAGCTGGTGGTTGACATGCTGGTTTGGATAGATCAGAGAGCCGGAAGACAGGAAAATGCTGCGTGTCTAAAACACGTAGATCCTGACTCAGCATGGAACACAACAACCTCAAAAGGCTGGCACACACACACATACGCTCACACACGCACACACTCACATGCACACGCATGCACATGCTTGCACGCACAGAGCCACTGCAGAAACGGGCGCAAGCACGGTCAGGGGCAGCAGGGCTGGCCGGAGGGTGGCTGCCACGGACACAGCCTGTGTCTGAGCGGAAGGAGGGCAGGGTATGGAAGGGCCGCCACCAGCCCTGAGCTCCTGAAACCCAGTGGCTGCGGGGTCCAGGCGACCCCAGAGAGGACGCCCTGCTTCTGCCTCACGTGGAATGACTGCCCAGCTCCAGACTGTTGTCAATCTGCTGTCAGGGGACGGCCCGCAGCTCGAGGGCTGGCCCGAGGTCAGGCCCTGGGCAGCGGCGGGGTCAGAGCCCTGGTCTGGACAGAGTCTGGCCTGCAGTGCCTTCAGCGGGGCCTTGGCGTCTGCTTCCCCTTGATGGCCTGACAGCTCCGGGGAAGCAACACCAGGTGTGTGTGTGTGTGTGTGTGTGTGTGTGTGTGTGTGCCTGCCGGGGCGAGCCCACAGCAGCCCCACGAGGCCTCCTGAGTTCCCATGGAGCCCCCTGATCAGTAGGAGAGCTCATTGCTGGGGCGGCACCGGGATTTTGCTCTGAATGGGGACCTCGGGGTCTCTCCATGTGTTGGGTGTGGTGCAGGCCGAGTGGAAGGGCTGGGGAGCTTTCTCTGCCCACGCAAGCAGCCCAGACCCTTCCCTGCCACACAGGCATCCTCTGAGAGCCAGGGGGTTCCTCAGCCCAGGTTCCCCCAAATCCCAGGGCTGCTGCGAGGTCTCAGGGCTTCTTACCAGCAAGGCCCTTATTCTCCAGCCAGAGTCCAGCTGCTCCTGCAAACACCCTCCCCCGCAGCCGGAGACCACTCACGCCCCCACTCCTCC